AAAAAACTCCAAATCTGGAAAAGCAGCCATGATGGTCTTTGAGGACTTTATCTTGCCTTTGAAAAAAGGGTCAAGCGCCGCATAATCAGCACGAATGAGACATTCAAAACAGGCAGCATCCGAAATCTCTTTGAAAGAAATCCCGACAAGATAGACACCATCATCTGGCTTAGGAAGTGGCGCCACAGCTTCTTGGGCAATGTATTCTGAGTTGACAACTTGTTCTTCAGCTTGGTCATCATCATATTCATGCCCATTGTTCCTATGGATAGAGTAACTTTTTTCTCTGCTTTTTCTTTTCTTTTGGTCTTCACGTTGGTCATCATCATATTCTGCTCCTTCCTTTCCAAACGAAACAGCCTCCTTTCACTCTTGGCAAGTGTGGTTTTTGTTTTTGAAAACTCTGTTGCAAGTTCTGATGGAGCCACTACTTTGCTTTTGATTCTTAGAAGACGCAATTTTGATGATGATGGCCTGAAATATAAAAGTTAGTCAAACATAATCAGAATCTTGTACAGCTTTAACTCAATAAATAGTTATACACTCAAAAAGTTACTTACTTGGTTTTTCTCACACGTTTGGCACTGAATCGTTCATTGACCACTGTTACGGTAGAAACATTAGTTTACAATATATATCGAAAATTCAACAGTGCATTACCATTTCTAAAAGCAAAACAAAACAAAAACTCACATATCAATCTCTTATCTGAAGAGAAAGCTTCTAATACATCATTCTGTTCAAGAAAAAACTCTTTCATCTACAGATCTTTGTGAAAATATTTGATTAATATTTTGCAAGCTATCACACAATCTTGTACGGAGCTTCTTAGACATTTCACAATCTATATATCTGACCGCCATTGACGCTACAAAAAAATGGAAAAAGTGAGACATACATGCATCCATCTCATGAAATTAGGAAACCGACACATGAACATTGTAGAGGTGAGACATAGACATTCAGCTCATGAAATGTTTGGTTTGATTTTTAAAAATAACATATAAGAAGAAAAAACAGACCCTTCCTCAATAGGGGAAAAGTTTTTAAGTCCATTCATACCTCAATACTTCAAAGTACGATACTCAGAGAAGTAAATACTTGCACACAATCTTATAAAACTAATTATTTGAACCCAAAGAAGTGATTCTAAAAAAATCCATTAAGTAGCAAAATCGTCTTGTGAAATAGATCTAAAAAGCCTAAAGGTTGTCAAATATGAGCCTCCTTGCCAAACAAATCTTTTTTTTACTATTCACAACTATACCCATTCCACTCAACAACTTAAAATTTGCAACAAATTTCGAATGGATTTTTCGGTTTCGGATTCAGTTCAAGATTCGGTCGGATTCAGATATTTCGGATTCGGTTCAACAAATTTCGAATGGATTTTTTGGTTTGTTGCAACTTAAAATTTGCAACAAACCGAAAAATCCATTCGAAATTTGTTGCAAATTTAAAGTTGTTGAGTGGAATGGGTATACTTGTGAATAGTAAAAAGGATTTGTTTGGCAAGGAGGCTCATATTTGACAACCTTTAGGCTGTTTAGATCTATTTCACAAGACGATTTTGCTACTCAGTGTATTTTTTTAGAATCACTTCTTTGGGTTCAAATAATTAGTTTTAGAAGATTGTGTGCAAGTATTTACTTCTCTGAGTATCGTACTTTGAGGTATTGCGGTATGAATGGACTTAGAAACTTTTACCCTATTGAGGAAGGGTCTGTTTTTTCTTCTTATATGTTATTTTTAAAAATCAAACCAAACATTTCATGAGCTGAATGTCTATGTCTCACCTCTACAATGTTCATGTGTCGGTTTCCTAATTTCATGAGATGGATGCATGTATGTCTCACTTTTTCCATTTTTTTGTAGCGTCAATGGCGGTCAGATATATAGATTGTGAAATGTCTAAGAAGCTCCGTACAAGATTGTGTGATAGCTTGCAAAATATTAATCAAATATTTTCACAAAGATCTGTAGATGAAAGAGTTTTTTCTTGAACAGAATGATGTATTAGAAGCTTTCTCTTCAGATAAGAGATTGATATGTGAGTTTTTGTTTTGTTTTGCTTTTAGAAATGGTAATGCACTGTTGAATTTTCGATATATATTGTAAACTAATGTTTCTACCGTAACAGTGGTCAATGAACGATTCAGTGCCAAACGTGTGAGAAAAACCAAGTAAGTAACTTTTTGAGTGTATAACTATTTATTGAGTTAAAGCTGTACAAGATTCTGATTATGTTTGACTAACTTTTATATTTCAGGCCATCATCATCAAAATTGCGTCTTCTAAGAATCAAAAGCAAAGTAGTGGCTCCATCAGAACTTGCAACAGAGTTTTCAAAAACAAAAACCACACTTGCCAAGAGTGAAAGGAGGCTGTTTCGTTTGGAAAGGAAGGAGCAGAATATGATGATGACCAACGTGAAGACCAAAAGAAAAGAAAAAGCAGAGAAAAAAGTTACTCTATCCATAGGAACAATGGGCATGAATATGATGATGACCAAGCTGAAGAACAAGTTGTCAACTCAGAATACATTGCCCAAGAAGCTGTGGCGCCACTTCCTAAGCCAGATGATGGTGTCTATCTTGTCGGGATTTCTTTCAAAGAGATTTCGGATGCTGCCTGTTTTGAATGTCTCATTCGTGCTGATTATGCGGCGCTTGACCCTTTTTTCAAAGGCAAGATAAAGTCCTCAAAGACCATCATGGCTGCTTTTCCAGATTTGGAGTTTTTT